ATCGTACACTCCCAAGATCCAACAGTCATCGTGTCAGCAGCTAGATGACTCAAATGTTTGTGTGTGTGTGTGTGCTTTCTCAAATACCTGGCATCCACCGGGCAAACTGCTGAGTCATCGCGTAGGGGTGTGCGCAACGTATCGAATTCGAATGATTTAATTCGATTTCCGCACAGTGAAATGGTTCCTTGCTCTCTTTGGTAGACTGAGCATGTGGGGGCAGACCAGCTCCCTTTAACAGGGGCTACAAAAGCCCTGTCCCCTTCTTTATCCTTTAGTCGGGAGTTACATCTCCCGCACTTTCCTCTGGGCCTTAGCCCGCACTACCGGTGGTACTTTCCTACACATTCAAATCCCATAACGAAAAGGTTAGGAGTCTCTGCACGGTCCGGAGTCATCGCACAGGCGTGCGATGCAAGTTAAATGGCGAAAATTAATGCAATAGCAGGTACTGTTTGCAAGCGCATGAAGGTATTGTAGCACGTGTAAAACACGAAATGTCACTTGGTACATTAGTGGCTGAAACGCATGAAACGAATGAGAGACGTTACGCAGGAAACGAGTTACTTGCTTGATTTTATTTTTATCACTGTAGTTTTGTACAATTCAGAGCAACTTTCATCGAAGGGGAGTGTTATGGAATTGCTAGCACATTGGCAGTATGAGTCAATGTTCAGCAGCACTGCTCTTGTATATCGTAGATCTCATATGTGTTGGTTCGAATGTCGGTTCGAATGTAACGTACGTTTGTGCATGCGGAGGAACTACTCTCGCAGTATTCTCTGCGTGGTGCTTGGTAGCCGAGTAGCTCAATCTCTCGTGTGATCCTTTCGGATTGTGTCGGCCACCTCAGCGCCGGTGTTCCAATATCTCAACATCTTCTTCACTCCGTGAAAGGACTCTCGTCGTCCAGGCTACCCTCTCGCACGTGTCATCACCTCGACCAACGTCGACGACGCAGCCTCTACACCACCGTGCCAGGGTACTTTACAATATCCATAATATCCCCCTTGCCCATCGTAAGCTCAACCTCAACCCACGCTACAGTAGGGCACCCATACGCTTTTATCCTCGAAGGAGGGCTGTATGTTGACGGTGTTGTCCTTCCCTTGCCCGTCGTGAGGTCAACCTCGACCCACGCCGGGCGTTTCCAGCATAAGAGGAAGGCGCTCTTGCAGGCTAACTTCTCCAGTAGAGGCATCGTAGCGGTGATCACCGAAGATATTACCGAGGAAGGCCTCCGGGTTGACGGAGGGCTGCGGCACAGAGCTCACGGCATCAAGGAGGGTAGAAAGCAAGCTCATGCCGGAGAGTTGCAATAAGAGGAACAGAAGGATACCCGAGCAGCTGTACATTAAAGTCGGCTACGCACGAGCGTCGGCGGCAGCAGTGAGCAGCCGGGTAGGAGTAGAAGTGTGTTGCCTGCTGGGGAGACGGCACTGCTGCTGTGGTGCGGTCCGGCAGACCGTTATAATTTGGAACCCCACCCCCCCCCCCGTTTGTCGGTATGTCGGACGCCCCTGAGGGACTGCAACTGCAAATTGACGCGGCGAAGAAGTTTACTGATAAGTGGAGATTGGCTGCCAACGTTAAGAAGAGTGCCGTCATGGAATGCAACGAGAACAAGGAGGAACCAGTAGAACATAGATGGAAGTGGGGGATCGAGGAGATTGCAGTAGTGGACCAGTACACATACCTCGGAGTAGAGATCGCAAAAGAGTGCTCGTGGAATGCACACATGTCCAAGGTAGCGGAAAAGGGCAAAGCACGAGCAGGGAAGCTGCACCCAATACTCGCAAACCGGCACCTCGATACACGCATGAAATTGACGGTTTTGAAGAGCGTAATCGTACCGCCGCTAGAGTACGCCGGAGAGGTATGGGAAGGAAATGAGAAGGTAGCGAAAGCACTCGAGACGGAAAGCAGTGAAAATCATCCTAGGATGCTCCAAGCGCACAAGTAATGCGGCCGTCAGGGCAGAATTGGGGATCCAATCCCTACGGTCGGGAAGAGACGCGAGGAAGCTGACATGGCAGTATCGCATGTGCGGGATGGGAGAGGAGAGGTTGCCGAGAATTGTATGGGAGGCGAAGTGGGCAAACAAAAAGAGTGGTAGACAACCCACGGAATGGCTCAAGGTTGTAGAGGAAGTATGGAAGGGGCTCGACATCGACGAAGATGAAAC